CTGCTGGACAGAGCTCTTCCCTGAGCACCCTAATCCCAGGGACACTGGAAACTGGACTTAATGAGCCCAGGGACTAGACAGAAAGGGCTGGGTGTTTAGATTAACCATGTGAAGATTCTGGAAGCAGCTTAGGTTGGGTGGCCCTGAATAACATTAGTGGTGAAGTTAAAGGTTGTTTCACATAGAGTTTCTGTAGGGGAATGGATTAACTACTGTGCTGGAGTTAGTAACTGGTTGTATTAAATGTGCCATCCTGAACTAAATCATAATTTGCACCTGTTGTTTTCCTTGGACAAATCAGTCTGTTCCACTTACCACTGTTATGTCCTTCACAAAGTAACTGTAGGAATCTAAAGAGATCTCGTGTAAACTCGTCATTCTGGAGTACTTTTTCACCTTGAAAACACAGAATAATGGTGTTTGGTTCCCCAACACAGAATGCCTTCCTATGCAAATTACTGCAGAACGATAGAGGACTTGCATCTGTTACAACAATTAGGAAAGGGGACTGGCTGAATGGTGATAAATCCAATTAACCTGGAACTGAGGATACAGAACACAATGATCAACGGTGCTAAAATATGGAGCCCCAAGATGCATTTGTAAGGAAAACAGCTAGGCTAATGGCAGCAATGACTCACAGTCCATACCTCATGCTTTACAGATGGAAGACACTTCTTTAATTAAGCATCAAACTGCTGTATCAAACTCTGCATGCAACCACCAAGCCTTAGATGTGTCTGAACTGGGGCAGTTAAATAAGATCTCTCAGGACTCACACACATGGTAGACAACTCAGGCCAGAAACTTATACTTACCACGCTCACGAACAATGACTGGTGATGAGAGAAAAACAGAATGCAAGGTAAGAAAACCATAAACACCATGATAAACTGCGTTTAGTTGACTGGCTCTATGGACACATCCAGCCTAGATGCTGGTTGTACCAAAGCTACTGATGGAAATCTTTTGCTGAAGTGGAGCAAATCCTTGCAGTTTTAGAAACAGTGATCAGGGGTTCTAACCAGAAATAGTTAATTAAGCTTTTAATCAGAAGAGAGAGGCCTTCACATTCATCAGTTACTTACGTGTTCCTTCCTCAGTAACCATCCCCAGGCCTTCAGCTTTATTCTGCCTCTCAAATGCATTCAAATCAAGGACACTTGTAATAGATGAAAGAAAAAAACAAAGTTCAGGGCTACACACACTGGGAAAATGGATTTCTAATGTCATTGTACTTGTTGACTAAGAATATCTTGTCCTTGTATTAGTATAAAGGGACTAACATATGACAATGTGGTTGAGTCTAATGGTTTCCTGTGTTTGTGCCAAGTGGTATTGTCCAAAGATGCCAGTGGTTCACAGACATTGTCACATACATGGGAGGGGTCAGAAAAACTTATGGTGACTGTCATTGTTTGTCCAGTTTGAGTCCTTCCTTGTGGATGGAGATTTAGAAAGCTTTCCCATGAAAAGAAAGAATAATCTGTTTCTAAGATTTCTCAAGGGAAATTTTAAACTGCGCTAATTAATGTTCACTTCCCAGTATTACCTACTTTCTCTTAGAATCACAGGGAATTGTGGGTTTTAGCACTTAGGATGAATACCAATGGAGAGAGTGACACATTCCAAATTTTAAAGGGCCACACCTTTTAGGAGTCTTGCATTATTCAGAAGTCAATAGTAGCCAAGATGAAGCTTTCTAGAGGCAATGATGTCCCTACTAGGTGTTCCTGAACCTGTAAAAAGTTGGCCTTCATCTTTTGTCCCTACTCTCTCCAAACTTCTCACTCATGGTCACTACCAACTCCTACTTAGCCAGGAACCCCCAGGACAACCACAAAGCTTTATAGGACGGTTCAGGATCATGTTATTTCCAATTGGGGCTCATCCTATTTCTCTAACAGACTAACTCCTTCCCCAGTCTGAATGGTTTCATAGAACATAAGAACATAAGTTCTCATAAGAACATAGCTCTTAGGGAAGCTTGTGGCCGAATCCATTAGGCTCTGTAAAAGTCTTGCCCACCCTTTTCCACTGGGCAAAGGAAACATCTGCTGGGTTGAAAAGACATTAGGGAAAAATCCAGCTTTCCCTCTTTGAGGCAGTCACATACATTCTGTAATTTAGATATATTTTAAAGAGAAAAATGAAAATTTCTATTGCCATCTTTCTTGGTTTTTCCCAGATCTTGTTACCAAAAGGGTCTGCTCAATAACACAAAACTACCCTCATAGTTGGGTTTTGCTGTCAAAGGAGGACAACACGGAAACAAGACATTGGGGGAAAGCTGCTCTGAAGTAGCAGTTCTGATTCAGGTGACAATCTGTGCAACAGACATTTCTGACACTCCATCCTGAAACAGCCATTTCAAATGTTTTAATTTCTCTAGTGCTTAAGTATTTTACAAATATGTACTAATTTTATAACCAGCAAAAACATGAAAGAATCTTAAAACTTCTGTTAGAACTCAACTGACCTCTAAGGGTATGTCACCTGTCCCTCCAAGCCATCATTATAGATGTGTTTAGCAATGTGAAGTATTACTGACTACCAATAGAACTCTTAGAAATTTAACTGAGAATTTCACGAGCAACATGGAACTGAACTGCCTTGATTTTTGTCATCTCGGAGTCCACATGTCCTATTTTACTCTCAGTGAGTCAGGTCTGGAAATATTGCGTTTTCTTTTCCTGAGAGAGGTAAGTAATAAATGAGTTGGCTACTGGTGGGGAAAAAAATGGAGCTGAGAATAAGGGATTGTACTGCTGCTCAAATATGCTTTCTACAACCCCATGGCACAACATCTACCCAGTCAAATAAGGTTAGCAACATTATGAAGTCCACCAAAGAAAATGTCCACCTTCCAAATTCTCAAATGGAAAACCTAATGTTCCATTTTTAAGAATATGAATTGGAAGCAAATGAGCTAGATAACTGTAACTTTGATTTCTTGCAGACTATTCACAATACCTAAGAATCTTAGACAATAAGCTGACACTTCACTTAGAAAAATTGCTGGCTTGTTTCTGAAATGAGCCAACTATGGTAACCTTATGACTTCTGGTTACATACTGTTCACATTCAGCAATGAGGGGAGGCTCACACAATATGGTAATAATATCAACAAAGGCTTAATGCTTTGTTTTTTAGGCTATGGCAAAATTTTCTCATGTCAGAATGTACCTCTGTCAGAATGGATGTGTCAAAATATTGACTAATCAAATAACTATTCAGACTCAAAGAAATGTTAAGGATCAAAACAAATGAAGTGCTTAATGGGTCTACTGAAAACACAGCCTGAGTCACAGTAGGGTATTCATCCTCTTTTCCATTCTTTTCTGAGCATATGTGTTTAGGAGAAATTGAATAGTGAAGAGCTTTTAAAAATGTTGTATGGATGGTTTTCCCATATTTACCTGCAAGACTGCATAAGACCAGAAAGGCTCTGAAAGAATCCAGCATCCTTTTTCTCCTTTAGGTAGTCTAGCATTTTCTGCAAGAGATGCACATTTTAAAAGGAAAAACAATGTAAACTATGCCACAAGTACTGATCCTAATTGTAATGGAGAAATGGCAAGTCCCAGCCACACAGGCCCACTGAGTCAGGTCCAGGGTGGTGGTTCGTAACTCCAGTAAGCTTCAGTACCCCGTGGAGTTAAACCCTCCATATGCCTGAGCCCCACCATCTTCTATGGAACCAGAATCCATCAGGGCAGACATTTCATAAAGGGCCACTGGTATTTCTGACAGGGCAGTCTAGTAAATTGTTGCCAATCATAGATTTACTGTTTGAAGTCTCTCCTATTTGGGAACAAGTGCCAGGATCATGATGGAAGAATGTTCCCTGTAGCTGTGGTACAATCTCAGCAGCTTGTGCAATGAACTTGGTGCCTGGAACAGGAGCTTAGCCAGTAATACACCTAGCTGACAGCTCAGTGTGACTTTGTTTTCCCTGTTGTCTGTAACTGGGAAGGTAGAAACTTGACATAATACAAATGTTTGTTTGTTAAATAAAATAGCCTGCAAGAAAGTCAATTGATGGGGTGGTACTGGAAGACAACAGAAAGTGAGTGGTGTCTCTGAAGATAGTAGTTCTTAAGAAATTTGTCTGAGTTGAATTAAAGGCTAGGAAAAATTATATGCAATAATGGATTACGTATTTGGAGATTCTCAAAGGCCCTGGGATATAACTCTTAAGAATGCCAAGCTCTTTGAAATAACACTTTCCTGTGCACAGAATTTTTTAGCCAGACCCTGGAGCACCTGTGTGCTGTCCTTTAATGCATGAACTTTTACTGGAATTATACACTGCTATACCCTCTGCCCCTAGAATAGAGCCTTGCCTTAATGTGTAACCAGCAATCACTAAACAGTTGTTGAATTCATGAAGGAATAATGAACACCAGGTGTGTGGGGTTACAAACTTTACTTAACTCATCAGCCTTCTTGCTCACAGTAAGACAAACAAGTGAACTGGTTGAAATAAAAACTTAAGGCTTAGAGAACCTCCTCTAGAGCATATTTGTGCAAAGAATCATCTAATGATGGAAAAACAAAATGTTTTTCTCTTTGCACCCTGGATAAACCCTTTTTACTAAGTACACATTGTCTGTAGACTCCCAGCCCTGGTTTCATCTGTGTTCATCTATTCTGATATGATTGGCCACTAAGGACAAACACCAGTGAAGGTGATTCTGGGTGGCTCCCTCTGCAGCCTCTTCCCTGAAGCATGACAGCTGTCACACGGGAACACCCCAGGAAGTCTGTGCTACCTCCCTCGGGGCCCCATTACCTGTTGCACACCAGCATTGCCCCCATTCAGAATGGCGATCCCCAGCTTCAGAGTCTCAACCACCATGGGGCTCATCTCACCTGCCATGGTGAAGATTCGATTGAATCACCAAGGAAACAGAGGCAAATCATGCCTGTGGGGCTTTATCAGGACTCTTTAATAATGGCTTCATGTCACAGTGTGATATCTCTGGGGCAGTTACAGAGGACCGTCCCGCAGTCACAGAAATCACCTTTGCTGGCACTTATCATCTGGAGGACCATCTCTGCGGCTCCGCGCTCATGCAAACGCGCTTGCTGGTACAGGGTTTTCTGCTTTTCCATTTCTTTCTCCTGGGGAGAAAAAAACAGGGAAGGATTTGTTTACCCCCAGGGAATTCAGTGTTAAGGTGAGTTGAGAGAGATAATCTTTACTTGCTAAAGGAAGTCAACACACATAATTTCTGATAAAGCAGACTTCTAATGTTTATTTCCAGATGCTGCTCAGCTTTCCAAAACTGTCTATGCATAATCCACTCATATTTTGACAATGGACTTTTACTTTTTGCACTGGTACACAGTCCATTCCCCTGTGATACTGTAATTATAGGAAGTGATCCCAGATTTAAATGTTTTGTTTTCCATGCTCTGTCATACAGGGGGGACACCTATGGAGTAGTGAGCTGGAGTACATCTGTCTGAATGTAGGAAACCCCATTTACCTAGAATGCTCAGACCACAATTAACAGAGGTGTACCAGATATGGGATATCAGAAGTTTGCATCAAGGCTTTCCAGGACTGTAATTATATTCATTTACTTTTACTGTTGTATATTTTGCCTGTAAAAGAGTACAAATCTATAAACCTAATGTAGTTTTATCTTGGGAGATTCAGGGTCCTCTACTGCCTCAAAATCAAAATGTCAATCAATTGCACTTGCAGAATAGTATAAAAACTATCCCAGGGTCTGCATTGTGCTTTGCATTTTTAAGTGCGGATGCTTGAATCTGTCCGTCTATGGCCCTGTTACTACCGTACTTGGGTATAAGTAGAAAATTCCTCAAGAACAAACCTGCGGGGCAGTTTGCTGCCTGCCCGCCTGCCTGCCTACCTTTCATTAGGCTGAAAGACAGAAAACAGAACCACAGCCAACGGGGTGCCTTGTCATGCCCATTTAGCTGTGGTATCCAGGCTGACTTGTGTGTTCACTACCTGATACACATGGTGGGCGAGCCACACAGCTGATGCTGACGCCCCCCCTCTGAAGGCCTCTGTTGGCTTTGGAGGGCAGCACTGTATTCAATATTGGTGAAAACTTACTTCAAATGTTTTCTCCTTGTCTTCCTCTTCTTCATCCTCCCCACTCTGACAACTCTGGATTCCATGGAGCAGGGAAGGGAGGAGACAAATTAAAGGAAACCCTGATAAACAAGACTGTTCTACTGTGAGGGGCAGGGGACAGGACATAATTCTCAGGACCTCAGTGCTTTGTAAAACCAAGAACATTTGACTGCTGCAGGGGCAACATTCTACTCTGCATGCCATCCCTGCAGCCACCAAGGGGTTTAGACATGAGAATGGGAACGCTTGAGATCATGCAGTCAGGGGGGCCCTATCTGGCTTAACCGTACACCTGAATTCTTCTACCTAGTAAAGTACTGGTATAAATGCAGAGACAGGAGTTCAGGGAGCTGTCCCTTTCTAAACAAGAACCAGGTGCTTGGCAATGAGATCAGAGACACCTAGGATGTGAATCCTAAAGTGCCCCTTCCCATCGTGACAGTACAGCTGGTAGGGAATGGGTGCTATCAACATGGCCCCTTTCTGCCTAATGGAAAGGTTTTCCATTTGACAAAGAGAAGTTCCCTTAACCAGCCAGCATTCCAGAGGCCACCATCCTTCTAGCTGTCATGAAAACATCACTCTGCCTCTTCAGAACACTAGGATCTCCACCTCATTTCTAGGCCTGTTTCCAAATGTACTGAACTTCTTTTGCCTACAGATACGTTCAAACTGTTGGACACGTTCTGAACGTTGACTGAAAACACGAGGATAGTGGGTAGGCCCGAGCCCCATTTAGTTGGCTTAGAACTGCCATGTGAACCCAGACACTAGCACCCAGCATTTCTGCAGAGCTTTAAGGTTTCCTTAGGGATGGTGGAGTGGTTTACTAATGTCACGCATGTGAACTGTGCAATGTCTGGAGCCCAGGCCATGACTGAGTCCTAGGCCTGTGGCTCAAGCACATCAGTTTCTGTGTGCCTGAAGAGGCTTAAGGGACAATAGAAAAACTGAAAAAATGGGCAGAAAGCCCAGGTGTACCTTAGCCATCATGCTGGAATAGGAGGTGTACAAAGGGTCATCTTCTAATTTGCTGGAAAGAATGGAGGAAATATTTAGCAGGCTACTTTTGGGACCCAGAAGAAAAGATTAAGAGCCATAGAAATCTTAAATTAACTAGTGAGTTAATTTGAACCTCCCTCTCCCCGCTCCCCCCTGATCCTTTGAAACCACTGTGAAAATCTGAATCGGCATTGGCTTGATGTGGAATTTAGGGATGAAGGTGACAGTATCAGGCTGCTTAACCTTCAGACCCAGTGTACGGCATTATGATGAGAGGGCTGTGGCTTATGGGTTTCCCGAGACGTTTGATGGCCATCAATAAATAGGGCAGCAAGGAGGGCTGCTGAAACCTGGTATCCCCCTTCCAGGCACTCCCATCTGTGAGGGGAAGGTTTGGGGTGGATACCACGCCTGGTGCTTGGGAGAAGCAGGGTGCACAGGGGGTGCTGACCTCCTCTCCGTGAGAGCATTGCGGCTAAAATAGAGAATGATTTGATGAAGTGGGTCTGGCTGCCTTTCCGTCTCCTCCTCCTCCTCCTCTTCCACCTTGGGGGATTTCTACACAAACCAACATAGACAGCTTTTAGGCATGGGTTTCAGCACGTGCCGCCCAACTGCATGCGAACAAAGAGAAGGTAAAGCGCAAGGCAGGGAGCGCACTGGGCTAAAAGCACCAAGGGAAACCACTATGTCATATATTTATTTCAGGACAGAAGCCCTGAGGATGCGAGGTTGAACATATAAGTGTACATTTTTTTTTAGCCGATCAAAGAAACATTCCAATTTTAGGTTAAAATGAAATGAAGGAAAGAGCAAAAGCCTGACCCCAGGGGAGGAGCTACAGACCCCAACCAGCAGAACTCTCATGCAAGCTCTGGGCACCCAAGGTCAGGAGGGGGGCCCTGGACAGCCGCCAAGAGGCTGGACTTCTCGCCCAATACCTGATATTTCTGTTGGAGAGCTGGGCTGGGAATTGGGATGGGGCAAGAGTTACAAAGCACTGGGGCCGCTGGGGGTCTAATACTAGTCTAGACTCAACCCAGCCGAACACCTCTTTCCTGCTGATTCTAAAAATCTTTTCCTGCAAAATGCCATTTTGGAACTGCAAGCCTTACAGTTCTTCCTTTTATCAAGTCTTTTCTTTATTTCCTTTTGCAGAAAAGGGAATAGCAGTTGATGCCAGAGGTAAAAGTGCATTTTGTGGCAGTGGCCAAGCCAGCAGGGTGACCCATTTTCAGTAAACTGGTGAGAACTACATAAGCTGCGTGAGGGCTTCAGAGGTGGAGGGTGAAATGCTGCTGTCAACTTCATACTAATCAGGGAACAAAAACCAAGGAACAGCTTTTCTCACTGACAGGAATATAGGAAAAGAATGAACGGCATGAAGACAAATGGGAGGAAAATGGGGGAAAAAGATTAAGAGGAAAAAAAAAGAGGGGAGAAGAAAAAGAAATAGGGAGCTAGGGAAATAGAGAGAAAGAAACGTGGCAAGAGTGCATGTGAGAAACCAGGGCAAAACTAATGGAGAGAGTAAGGGGTAAGAAAAAAGAAAAATGAGAGAAATAAGGAGAAACAGCAAAAAGAACCACAGGCTGGCCAAAGGGTAAAAGAACCATAAGGTTGGCTTATTTTCTTTCTGAATCAGGATGAGGTTCTATGGTGCCTCTGCAATAAGCTTTTCCCCTGGGTATGTTTTTTCAGTAGTTTTAGAGCATGAAGTCTGTTAGAGACAGGGCATGACCAATTTTCAGAAGGGCCAGATACAGAGATGAGAGATGCAGGCAGGGGGTTTATATGTGCCTTCCCCAAAGCAAAGCTATGGACCAGAAATGCAGGGCCTTGGTAAGGGCGGGGGACCTCCTGCAGCCGCTGGTGCTCACAAGTTAACTTAGCATGACCTTGCCGTGGCATGGCTGTGCATCCCAAGCAATATTAGTTGTCGATAATGAGAATGATCACACTATTAGCACCCCCAAGAGAAATTTATCCTCTGGCTCTTATGGCCATTAGCAGGGCCTCCCCTGGTAATTTATACAGTTAGTTCCTTTCAAATTTATATGCTCCAGTCTTTGTGAATCTTTAACTGTTATAACGCACACATATGAATACACAAAGAAATTCATTCACATCCATATCTACTCCCAGATGATTCAGTACTTACAGCCAAATCCTGTACTAGTTTCTCTTCAAAGGAATACTCCTCTGTTTCTATCCAAAATCTCTGATAGCCATGGAGGAAGAGGTTAATAGAGCGGTGCCTGAGTGGAAGGGGTGAGAGTGAAGTCAAGAGGGATCCATGGGGACACCATGTTTTAGTTGGGGTGGTTAACGGTTAGTAAGCAGGACAGACTTTTGTACAATTCTTATCTTCTGATTGGTCAGGGTAGCCACGGGCACACCGTAAGTGTTAAACTCAAAGAAACCAGAACCCTCCAACGTGGCAGTTCCTGAATGTCTGAAACACCTGCTGAATGAACTAACTAATTGGTTAGCAGAAGACCTGGCAGTAACCTACAGTCCTGTTCAAGTCTCATGGGGTCTTTATCATATTTCCCCTCTCATGAGAAATAATTCATTGGGCCAAGGAACAATCCTGAAGTGTTTGCATACTACAGCGATTTGGTTATTCTTACGGCCCATCAAATCCAATCAAACCATGCTGATGGTGAGTGTGGTATGAGACACACCAAAAAGAGCAAAGCATGGGTGCTTGTCAGCGCCTCCAAGGAATCACAGCGGTGAGGTGCTCCAGCTTTTACTCAGGAAGCTAGGGCTACTTAGGAAGACTGCCGCTCCTTGACACACATTCTGTGGGCCTCGTGGAGTCTAGCAGTGGCCCTGGTACCTGGGAGCGCTGAATGATAGGCATGAGTCACTCACTCCCTGTAAGCCAGGATAGAGAACGTTGGCTACTGAAGAGTAGTTAAGGGGTTCCCAAATGCGAGGACAGTGGTGAGGAGGGAAGGAGAGAGAAGGG